GGGGACGCGGACCCGCAGAGCCGGCCCGTGCTGCTGCTCGGGCAGCTGCACCACCTGCTCCGCGTGCCCTGGAGCCACGTCCGCGGGAAGCTGCAGCCCCGGGTCACCGAGGAGGTGAGGGGCCGCCGGCCGCCAGCGCCCCAGCGCGCGTTAGCCCAGGCCCGGCCGGGCGGCGGGGGCGGCCCAGGCCCCGGGAGGCCGCAGAGGCCCCGCCTCGCCACCCGCAGCCCCACTGCGCGGCCTCCCCCGCGGCTGGGCCTCTGAGGCCGGCCGCTTCCCTTCCGGAGCAGCCATCAGGCCCCGTCCAAGCCTGCAGAGGCCCAGCGCTGTCCTAGCTGCTACACCTGCGACAGGGAGGGGGAGATGCGGCCCAGAAAGGGCTGCGTTCCCAGGGCTGCAGGTGGGCCCAGCTTCGAGGCAGGCCCTGCCTTCCAGAAATCCCCGTGGTTATTCTCTCCCTGCCTCCCTCTGGGGTATCTGGCTCCCAGACCCTCTCTCGTGGAAAATGGCTAAGTCCCAAACAAGTTGGGGTTTTCAAGTGTTTTAAGCAATATGGGCCCCAACCTGGCCTTTCAATCCTGACGCCTTAATCCCACATGGTGGAAGAGCGCCAGCAGAGAGGGACACTTAGCTCCACCGACAGGCCACACGACTCCTTAATTACAGATCAGGGGCGCTTAAAGTGCCCTTGCGGAGGCGCAGGCGCAGCTGGGGCAGGGCTGCCCCAGGTGGGCTGTTTGAAGCCTGTTTCTTGTCTCTCCTGATCCAGCTCTGGCAGGCTGCTCTGAGCGTGCTCAACCCCAACCCCACAGACAGCTGTCCCCTCTACCTGAACTACGCCACCGTGGCTGCCCTGCCCTCCAGGGTGAGCCGGCACAACAGCCCCTCCGCCGCCCACTTCATCACCCGGCTTGTGCGGACCTGCCTGCCGCCCGGAGCCCATCGGTGCATTGTGGTGAGTGCTGTGGAGAGTGGTGGCCAATGGGCCGGGTGTACTAGGACCACAATGCTGCCAGTGACTGCTTCGCTGACCTCGTGTCTCAGGGGGACTCACAGCCCTCTACAGACTGCAGGGCACTCTGGCCCATAGGACCTGGATGTTACCATCCCTGCTTTACAGACAAACTGGTCCAGAGAGACACGGTGATTTGCCCCAGATCAGTTTTGAGGTCAGGTCCAGTGTCTATCTGTCTGTGCCAGACGTTTTCCTGTCTGTTAAGGCAGTTGATAGTGACCAATATGCTCTTCCTCGTGTAGGCGAGACAGTGCTCCCAGCGTTCTGTGCTTCCAGGAAGGTCCCTGGGGGATGGGCTGACCGCTGCTGCTGAGGCACTGTCTTGAACAGTGGTTTTCAACCTTTCTAATGCTGCAGTCCTTTAATACAGACCCACAGGTTGAGAACCGTGGGTCTAGAATGTTCCTGAAGTTAACTGTGTTTGGGAGGCAGCGAAGACAAGGCCTGGCACTTCCTGATCCAGCTCCCTGTCTCTTTCCCTGTGCTGCAGATGGTTTGTGAGCAGCCTGATGTCTTCGCCTCTGCGTGTGCCCTGGCCCGGGCCTTCCCACTGTTCAGCCACCGCTCAGGTGCCTTGAGACGCGCAGAGAAGACTGTCACTGTGGAGTTTTACCTGGTGGGACAAGACAACGGTCCAGTGGAAGTGTCCACATTGCAAGTGGGTGTCTGGAAGGGCTGTCTGGAGAGCCCTGGCTCCCCTTTCTTCAGGGAGGGCTGTTTTGGTTTCTGTGATGCCAGACCCAGGCAGTGGGTTCCCTTCCCCTCAGGGAGGTCTCCATTTCAGGATTCTTTTCTGTTCAGACAATGTTTACTGAGCACCAATCATGTTTTTATACTAACAATCCTGAATATTCTATCACCCTTTACAGGGAGCACTTTTACATATGTTATGTCACTTGCTCCTAAAATTAGGCAAGGCTGGAGGTGATTTCCAATCTTGAGGTCTTTAGATGGGCTTGGCATGGGGCTCCCTTCCCACAGCAGCCATCCCAGACTCCACTGTGACCCCATTTGCCCACCCCCAGACCCCACTTACCCAGCCCCACACATCTTGTCCCTTTCTCCTGCTTCTGCCCCAAACAAGCTTTCCCACCTAGCGGCGTGGTCCATACCTTGCTTCTTCCTCTCTATGAACTGGAGTCATCTCCTCTTGACCTGGAGAGAACATACTTCCTTTTTTACTATCTTCAAACGATCCTCCTTCTTTCTGCATCCTCAAGCTTTTAAAAACCATAGTCTTAATTGCTTTGCATTTCTTAATTCTCTTTTCCTCCTTAACCCAAACAGCACCCTTCTTTCTTCATCCCCAAGCTTTTAAAAAACATAATCTAATTGCTTTGCCTGTCTTAATTCTCTTTTCCTCCTTAAACCACCCAAACCTAGTTTTTGTCCTCCTCCTGACATTGCTTTTTTGAAGGGTCCTGTTTGTTAGACTGGAACATTGGGCATCCCTCCTTGAAGCGCACCCACCTTGTGCAGGGCCATCCCGCTTCCCACTTCTCCCCAGCCTACTCCATGCTGTTAAGTAGTCCATCACGGCTGCTAACACTCTGAGCTCGCCCAGATGGTGATGACCAGCTTCCCCTCTGACTCCAGTGACTTCCTTCTGAGATCCAGGCCTCCCGTCCACCAGATCCCAGCCAGCAGCCCTTGTCCCCTCCCCTCTCACTGTTGTCCCTTGGCCTTGCCAGGTTTGTTCCTGCTCAGTTTCCCTCTGTAAGGGTCCTACTTTCTCAGCCCTGCATGGTGTCTTTTGGTTTCTGCCCGTGTTCTTTCCCCAGCCCTGCCACATTCCAGTGCTCTAGTAGTCCAGGCGCCCTTCCCCACAGACTTCCCTGCCCCAGCTGCCTCAAATCCAGAACACCAGGGTCTGGTATGCCACATGGCCCTTACTAGCCTCTCTCCCTTCTCATCACTGTGGGAACCTCCTCAGCTCCCTGGTCCTCTCTGAGTCCTGTGACCTCCTGTCATCCTCCTGTGTAGCATTTAATGGTGTGGTGTGTTGTAATTCTGTGCTGGACTTGAGTCCCTTGGACATCTTTGGATTCTGAGCCCAGCATGGTGCCCAGCACGTAGTGGGTGCTCCTACAAACACAGACACACAAATGTCTGCTTCTCCCCTGGTGGCAAGCAGCGTGGTTGTGCCGCAGTGGGGGCCCCTGGAGCCAGCTCCAAGCCTACTGGGGGTCTGGGGTCTTCAAGATGACACCTGGCCTCCTTGGAGGCAAGGCTTACATCATTGACACTCTTCCCCAGTGGTCCTCACTGTGCTCTTGTGTCCTCAGACAGGAGGTGAGCCTGCTGGCAGGCGGCAGGGACTGCACACTTCATATCTGAGCTGTCAAGTTCCAGGGCTCTACCTTTGAGGCTCTGGGGTTTAATTACCTCAGGACAAGCAGAGGCTCTCGCCGCCACCAGACAGGGCGGGGGAGGCAGCTAGGCTGGCGGTATCGACCCAGTGCTTGCCCTCCCTGACATTACAAGACTAGAGCGGTGATGACAAACTCGGTGCTGTCCTGCACCCCCGCGACACCTGCGCCACTTTCCTCTTTTTAATATTGTCTCTTTTCAGTGAGCGAAGGAGGCCATCACAGCTGCCGGCCTTCTGCAGCCTCTGAGGCATGGGGGGAGACACTGGGGACCAAAGTAGGGCAGGGGTGTTCTCGGGTACAGCTGAGAGCAAGGCCCCAGGGGCAGTGTGAGGCAGCAGAGAGTGAGACAGCAAAGAACTTGCCGGGCCGGGGCTGAAGCAAAGATGGGGCAGTGCCCCTCAGGTCTCACTGTGGTGGGCTGTTTCCAGGGTGTGCGTGGTGATTACTCTTGTGCATGCACCTTCTCTAAGCTCTCAGACCCTGGAAGCCTGGGACAGTCTGTGTTACCAGTTCCTGCTCCCTTTCAGGTGCTGGGTGGTCAAGTAAGTGCTACCAGGCCGGGCCCATCTCTGTGTCTTTCCCTCGCCCCGAGCAGAGCTGTGTCAGATCACAAGGAGAGACTCACCTGGGAGGAAAGCACCTCCTCGGTGGCCCAGAGGGAGGGTCTCTGGGAGGACTGGCAGGTTTGAGGCTCGGCATGAAGAGGCTTTTGCTCTGCTGGGAGGATTTGGAAGATGTGGCCTTTGAGAAGTGCCTCAAAGGGTGGCTGGAATCTTGGCGGGAAGAGGAGGGTACAGGATCTGCAGAGGCCAGATGTGGGCCAGCATGCACTTGGGCTGGCACAAGGGGATGAGGAGAGGAGCAGGACACAAGCCTTCGAAGGGCCCCAAATATATGGATACAGGGTCAGGACCTCAGGCTAGGGGGCACCTGTGTAATTCTGGAAGCACAGCGGGAGTGGGGAACAGGGGAGGGTGGCTATGTTGAGCTTCTTTCTGCAGAGGGTGAGGGGTGGGCAGTCAAAGGCTACTGGCAAAGGAGTGGGTGGTAAGAATTTTTCTTCTCCCTTCCCTCCGCCGCTGGCTGCCCTATTGGCAGCCCCGCGGCCTTTGCTGGGGTAGCACGTGCCTCTGACACGTTTGGGTTACTGAGGGATGGGTACGTTGGAGACATGTTTGCCAGCTAGCCCCACAACCCCAGTGACAGCTTTCTATTTTTCTTTAGTGCTTAGCAAATGCCACAGAAGGTGTTCGGCTGGCGGCCCGCATTGTAGACACGCCCTGCAGTGAGATGAACACAGATGCCTTCCTCGAGGTTTGTGGCCCCGTCATGCCAGGGGTGGAACCAGGGTGGAGTGAGTGTCGTAGGCCCTAAGGAGAGCCAGAGGAAACTTGGGGGCTGTGCATACCCTCTGACCCGGCCTGAGGACCTGGCGGCCACGTCCAGTGCAGTTATGCGGTCCTGCCTTTTCCAAGAGGAGTCCGGAAGGGTGTGGGGAGGACAGGGCCTCCTCTTCAGGGCCCTCCAGCAGGACTGCAGCCATGAGCCACAGGAAGTTGGAGGGTGTGGAGGGTGAGCCTCCTCTCCTGGGTTCAATCACGTGGGACGAGGAGAGTGTGGAAGCCTCTGGCTCTCCAGACAGGCTTCTCTCCCGCCGTCCGGGCCTCGCCTAGACTTAAGCCATCTTCACGTGTCCTTGTTGTGTTGTTTTTTCCATGAACACATCCAGGAGATTAACAAAGTTGGAAAAGAGCTGGGGATCGTTCCAACCATCATCCGGGATGAGGAGTTGAAGGCGAGAGGATTTGGAGGTGGGTGGGGCTGCACCCTGTAGGTCCTGGCCTTAGGGAGCTATGGGGGGCACTCTGGTGGGGGTGGTGGCTGGCCGCAGGGTACATAGTCCTGGTCTTCATCCTGCTTATGACTTGGACGGGATCAGTTCATGTCCAAGCCCCAGGCCAGATCCTGGGAAGCAGAACATCTCCAGGGGAGAAAAGGGAAGTGATCCAGACTCTGATTCGAATTCTGGAAGCTGCTAGGTCCAAGCCCTTCCCCTGCCCACAGCTCTCCAGCTGCCTCCTGTGCCGCACGCCCTGACTCCCTGGGCCAGCTCCACGGGGCCTTTCTGTTCCTCGAGTACACAAGTTCACATCTGTGTCAGGGCCTCCCACAGTTGGCTCTGTCTGGAGGCCTTTCCCTGAGGATGTTCTTACTTGGGGTGGGGGCCATCTCATCCAGCACATGTTAGCTCAGAGGTCACCTCCCCACAGAGGCCTTCCCTGATTCCCCAGGCTCAAGCTCCCCCTGAGCTGGAGGGACAGATAAATTGACTCAGCTCCCTCAAGGTGCTTTCAGACTGACAGAAGGAGGGGGCTGTTGTAGTTATCTGTGGCTATAAGACAAGGTGCCCCAGGGGTGCAGCTGAAAACAACACCTGACTCATGTCACAGTGCCAGGGATCTCCCTGCAACAGTCATCTGAAGGCTCACGTGGGGCTGGTGATGTGCTTCCAGGAAGGCTCACCCGGCTGGCCGGTCATGGGCCCTCATGCGCTGTTGGCTGGTGATAGCAGCTCCTTGCTGTGTGAGCCACCCTCGGGGCAAGGTATCTGACGGAGACCGAGAAAAAGAGTGAGCAAGGCGGAAACTCCCATGTTTCCCGTAACCTGGTCTCAGAAGTGGCATCTCATCACTTCTGCTGTTTTCTTTTGGTTAGAGGTGAAGCGTTAGGAAGAGATAAGGACAAGGTCTGAGTTGTGTGTACCACAGACACATAAGCCAGTTACAAATGGAGAGGTGGCCACTTTTATCAGGGAAAGCTTCACAGAGGAGGTGGTGTTTGCAGTGGGTCCTGTAGGATGAGTAGTAGTTTGTTAGACAGCCATAGTTCCTGTCCTGGTCACCTACTGGGGGACCCTGAGGCACAGACTCCACCCCCAGGCAGGCCACTGTTTTCTTGAGAAGATGGAGCATGTAAACGCACCAGTGAGGCAATGGTGCAAAACACATGGGCATGACCTTGGGAAGGGGATGAGCATGGGCTAGAGTGGCCTAGAGCATCATCCAGAAATCAGTCCATTGTGTTCAAGAGAACCTTGTCCTGTTCTCTCTTGAAATGATACAATATTTTCTTTTCCTCAGTGGATTTTCTTGCCTAACGATACTTTGCCCAGAATTTGTTTGCAGTTCCAGACATTGGAACTAATCTTCATTCCCCAACCCCTTACGGACCAGGGGGTAGGAATATGCAGGGAGCTCTGGCAGGAGAAATGTTGCCAGCCTACGCTGGGAACTGGTGTTTGCTGGGGCCTTTGGGGAGTTTTCTGCTCAGTTTGTACCAAGCCTAACCAGCTCTCCCCACACTCTAACAGGTATCTATGGAGTTGGCAAAGCTGCCCTCCATCCCCCAGCTCTGGCCGTCCTCAGCCATACCCCTGATGGAGCCACACAAACCATAGCCTGGGTCGGCAAAGGCATTGTCTACGACACTGGTGGCCTCAGCATTAAAGGGAAGGTGAGGTGTCGGGCAGGTCCCAGGTTGGGGAGGACCCAGGTGGGCTCGGCCAGCTCTCTTGGGAGCACCTTTGAAGGCAGTGAGGGTTCTGTGAGTTTGCAATTGGGCCAGGTTCAGGGGAGTCAACAGATCTGTCCCCATCTTGAAAAGGAAGCCATTTCTTATGGGACACCTGGATTTCAAGCCCCTATTTCAAACAGGAGTCGAAGCAAAATGTCTGGCCAGGGGCCAGAGAAAAGCCAAAGAAATGATTAAAGGAATCAGAACCCAGGGAGCCAAGGTCTGCCCCAGAGTGGTTTTGCCTAGGGGAGGGAAGGGCAAAGAGGGTCCCCAGGTCTCCAAATCTGAGTCCGTCGAGGTCTCCACAGAGAGATACTCCATGGGGTCCACACAAGCCCTCAGAAGGCATGTGACCCTTATGAAAGCCAGAGCAATTTGGCCTCAGCACAGAAGCAAGCCACCTGGGCTTGTCCCTGGGAGGCGACCTTAGCAGCCTCTCCTGTGGTGTGGCAGGCACTTGGGGAGCCAGTCACAGCCACATCTGTCCAACTAGGTGTGGCCTCTCTTCTCCACACCATCTTCATCTGTTCATCCCACACCACCAGGGCCTGGGCTGGGAGTCCTAGAAAGGCGTGGACTGTGCATGTGAGCCTAGGATTGCTGAGAGGACACTGGCTCTGTGACAGTGGCTCACAGATGTGGCCTTTTGGCACAAATGGCGCTTTAAAAAATTTGAATTGGGAAGCCAGGTGTGGTGGCTCACAGCTGTAATCCTGGCACCTACACCTCACCTAGCCGTAATCCTAGGGAGGTGAGGCATGTGGATTGCTTCAGCTCAGGAGTTTGAGATCAGCCTAAGCAAGAGCGAGACCTGTCTCTCTACTAAAAATAGAAAAACTAGCCAGGAGTCATGGCACACACTTGTAGTCCCAGCTACTCGGAAGGCTAAGTCAAGAGGATCACCTAAAACCAGGAATTTGAGGTTGTTGTGAGCTATGCCGCACAGCACTCTACCCGGGAGAAGAAGGAACCACCAAAAGCAAACTGGGAGCTGCAGGGACTAGCTGGTTCAAAGGCATCAGGTGGGACCTTTTAGATGCTTGGCAAGTACTGACCCCAAAGAACTTTTGCTTATAAGGGTGATATCTAGTGATATATATCAATAAAAGTCCATTGCATGTTACCATAAATAATGTAATTTTATGACAATTACTATTTTTGAAAATGAAAAATAATCGAGAGTAGCATTGTACATTTGTGCACATCCTGTTAGTGTCTGATGTAGAAGAAGAAGATAGCTGGGATCTTGCCTTTGATTCTGCATTTAGTCTGTCGTGACATATTGTCTCTGTTGAATGCTATCAAATCACCCCAGCACATTTCACGTTACAACAGGGTGGTGACTATAACATTCTTTGCTATTACACCAAAACTCAACAAGTGCTAGTTTCTTAACATTTGGTTATAATTTGGAATCTGAGGCCACATAAGTGAACTTTTGTGCAGCATAGATGGTTTTGTGCTACCTTGAATAGACCATTTGGAAATAATTGGTTCACAGGGTTATGCAAATCCTCCAAATTTTGACCCTTTATAGAATATCAAAAAACCTTCTTCACTTAGATCACCATTCATCTCATCAGAAAAGTCACGGAGTGCAAGGAGGCTGGCATGGCAGATACAAGTTGTCCAAAATTCAGATTTTTGCTTGAAAGCTCACGTGTATACCCTTGGCAGTAAATAATGTCAACTGTTTTCGGGAAGTGAGAAGCTCACTTTGTTCCTTTTCTAGGAAATTTCTGCAGGTACCAAAGTCCAAATAACCATCTTTTATCTGTCAGTTGCTCTTTCAAGTAAAACTGGTGAGAGTGGCTGAGGGCACTCCGAGCTCACATAGTCGCAGCTGCACTGTGTTCTGGCCCTTCCTGTGCCGTCAAGAGACCGAGCACCTTCTGTGTCCTCACACAGAATATTGGAAATGTCTGGTATTCAAGGCTTCAGATTTTTAAAATTTAATTTTACTGCTTCAGCAAGGAGATTCTTAAGCAAAATTGGCATGTTTTATCTTCCTGGTGGGTGTGGAAATGATTATAGTGCGGCAGCCTCGACTGTGGGTGCAAGTGTCAACCCAATGGAGGAGGCAGAAAACATCTTATGTTACGAGAAAATCATTTCTTTGATAAAAATAGAAATAACCTGTGGGGGTTGGTGGAACTTTGCACAATCAACTGGAGCTTTATTTGCAAGGTCGGCATTTGTCCCACCTGCGACTGGGAACTGGCCCCTGTGACATTCAGAGCAGCCTGTTTTGCACATTGCTGGACTCCAGATCTGAGGCCCCAGTTTTCCATTTGAACAGTCTTATGCTTTCTTGAACATAAGGTCAGAAGAAATGGATCGTTTTCACTTGACTTAATTATAAAAGCAGCTCAGTTTATATGTAAAAATACTTTCCACTAAAATTCAGGGCTCGTGTAATATGATCAGGGTTCAGAAATCCCTCGGTAAATTTCAGCCCTGAACCTTTACATCTGTGGACCTGTTGTTAATCTAAAATATGAACTTGCTGATTAGAGTAGGGAATGTATAAAATGTAAAAGTGTGTAGTCCCTCTCATTCAGTTTACAGAAAGTGGCATTTCTGTGTGCAGTAGGAGGGCACCTCTAATGTGGCTATTTCTGGTAGCCCTTCCTGAGACCCATCTAAAGCAGGAGGGCAAGAGGGGACAGACAGCCGCTTCTCATGGTGGAGCTGGTGGTGACGTGGGGGGTGAGGAGGTGTCCTCGCCAGTGGTGGTGTCAGTGGGTGTGGATAGGGGTGTTGGGGTGATGAAGAGTTCACGTCCCCCCTTGCTGTCCTTCAAGGGCATGGTGATGAGCAGAGAGAGCTGAGGCCAGAGCGGTGAGGAAGCTAGGCCTTGTCCCTTGGGTATCTGGTGGCCAAGGTGGGTTTGCCGTGGGCAGAGTCATGGTGGGCTTGTGGCAGTGGCATGAGGGAAGGCAGAAGGGCCTGTGGGAAGGAAGCAGGTGCACAGAGGGTAGAACGTGGGAGAGAGACCCAGATATGGTCTGCAGAGGCTGGGCAGAGGCCTCTACCCACACAAGGGTAGGGAGCACAGGAGGTGGTGGCAGTTTGGATGAAAGTGTGAGATGTGGCTCGGCGCCTATAGCTCAACCGGCTAAGGCGCCAGCCACGTACACCTAAGGTGGCGGGTTCGAATCCCCAGCCCGGACCCGCCAAACAACAATGATGGCTGCAACCAAAAAATAGCCGGGCGTTGTGGCGGGCGCCTGTGGTCCCAGCTACTTGGGAGGCAGAGACAGGAGACTCGCTTGAGCCCAGGAGTTGGAGGTTGCTGTGAGCGTGATGCCATGGCACTCTACCCAGGGGGACAGCTTGAGGCTCTGTCTCAAAAAAAAAAAAAAAAAAAAAAAAGAAAGTGTGAGATGTGCTGACATGTGGGCACCCCAGGATTCTGGAAATGGGAGGACCAGGAAGCCTCTGAGCTCCCGGTGTGTCTGCAGAGGCCATTCAGGGGCAGCATGGAGGGGCCAGGCCCTGGAATAAAGGGGAGTGTTTCCCTGCACGAACTTTCCCATGGCCTTAAGCAAGCCTCAGAGGCCCCCTGGACCTCAGGCTCCTCCTCACAAGTTAGACAGAGAGGTAGGTGGGGAGAGGCCCGCAAGCAGACACCCAGGGGTCAGGGTGCCCAGTTACCAAGCATAGGGAGCTGTGGCCGTGTCAGAGCCCGGCCACTGTGATTATGCCACTCTGGGCATCTGCATGTCACCTTGCAGTTACTGTGTGGTAACCCCAAAGCTCTACTGTAACAAAAGTGATCTCCACTGTCTTTTGGGAAGCTATCACTTCCCATTGCTTCTGGGTATCCCCACTTGTAGCCAGTTTCGTGAGTCCTGTGAGTGTCCAGCTGGCTGGGCAGGAGGTCCATACAGGCCTGAGGGGTGCTTTGGGAGGCAGGGTCCGGTGGGGGGTGGGCACGGCCTGCAGCCAGGCTTCTGTGCAAACAGCTCACCTTCTCCCTGGTTCCTTTGCCACCTGCAGACCACCATGCCAGGGATGAAGCGGGATTGTGGGGGTGCTGCAGCTATCTTGGGGGCCTTCAGAGCTGCCATTAAGCAGGTGAGTGAAACCCTGCCTGCCCTGCAGGGGCATCCTGGGCTTTCTTCCTGGAAATTTCTCCTGCCCTTTCCCTGGTCCATCCCTGGGTCCACTGGGTCCCTGTCCCTCTGATCTTGGGCCCTTCCTGCCTCTATCTGATTCACCCAAGGACAGAGTTCACCCATGCTCAGGGCCTGGCTGGGCTCAGGCCAGCGAGTGTGTGTTTCGTGGAACCACAAGGCATATGGCAGGTGTAAGCCCACATGTTGCAGTTGTGCTTCCTGTATTCCTCCTGCAACCCTCCTGTGTTCCAACTCGCCCTCCAGGCCAAGCCTCTCTCCACCCCATGCTCCTGGCTTTCTAGGCCAGCTTTGAGGAGGCCGAGCTCTTTGTGTCACTAAGTATAAGACATTCTTTCCCCATAGGCATTGCCTATGAAACCCCATTTCTTGGGGTAAACTTGAAATTGAAAAACAAAAAGATCCTGACAAATAGTGTCTAATTCTGACTGGTCAGGTGTCTGGCAGGTACCTGGTCTTGAGAAGTGGAGCAGAGGTCTCTGGAGGAGGGACAAGCTTGCTCTATATGCCTGGGGCGTCTTAGGCAACTGTGTGGTCCCAGACAGGGCCAGCCGACCACAGCTCCGGCTGGCAGGGACACTAGAGGTGCAGGGGGTGAGACAACTTGGGCAGCATTTTGAGGCTGGCTAGCATATCTTGCTGTGCCCTGCACGCCTTCATTTGGAAAAGGCCTTCATAGAGCTCGCGGCTGAGCATTGGCTCACGCAGAGCACACAGGTGGGGCTGCGTTTTCAGCCCCAGAGCCACAGGCTTCTGCGAGTTACAGGCTTCTGAGAGCACCTGCCGTGGCCCATCCACTGCAGAGCGCTGTGGGGGGACGTTGGAGGAGGAACATATGTCCTCAGTGCTCTTACCCCTCGCTGGCTGGAGACTAATGAGGGACACGGCCAGCATTGGATGAGGACTCAACTGTCTCAGCACCGCTGTGGGCCATGTGGGGACACAGGCTCCTGCCACCTAGCCCCCTCCCCTCCACCATGCTCCCTCCAGGGCCCGCTGGCTGCCTTGGGCGATGAGCCTTTCAGAAGGATGCTGAGGGACACAGATGCCCCCTGTGTGGCCCTTTCTGTAGGGAACAGCTGCTGCTCAGCACAGGGTGGGCAAGTGGTTTTGGGGGAGCCGTGTGGCTGGCACTCTGTGGCTGTCTTTGTCACTTATCCCTGCTTATTTCCCCAGCAGAGGGTCCATCCTGGCACCTGGGAAATGCCCCCCCAGGTAGATGCTTCTGGGCTTATATTCCCTTTCACAGGAAGCCACAGATTCATCAGCTGGCAGCTGCGGGTGTTCTTAGGACTCTCACACCTCCAGGGGTGCTACAGCTTGTGACCTGAAGGGTCCTGAGGACCCTTCCCATTAGAGCCCCGGCCTGGAGGCCCCACTGTTGACAATAATGTCCTGTTTAGCTTTGATATATGCCAGCCTCTTAGAAAGGAAGGTGCTTCAGTTTGAGCCACAAAATAAAGAATAGCGAGTTATTATTTAAGCCACAGAATAAAATAAGAGTCCATGTATCCATACGGGGAGGAATAAGTCATTGAATGAACAGATGAATGAGGGAGGCTGTTTCTCACAGTGGAATCCCAGTTACTGAGTATAGAAGCAGTGATGGGAGTAGGTAGAAAATAGAAAAATCCCCATTTGGCAAACACCACCACCAGTAACTGTTTCAGAGAAGAGCATTCACCTGTGCCAAACAGAAGCATGAGGGCGTGGTGGGCAGCAGAGCAGTTAGGTGGTCCATGGTGCCTCCAGGCACGGCACGCCTAGCAGCGTCACAGGGAGACAGCGGCCGGCCCTTCTCCACACGTTGCAGGGCACGTTGCCAGGGCAGAGACAAAGCCACCTGCTGCAAGGCACCGGGAAGGACACGGCACTTCCATGGGATTCCTGCTGAAGATGCATGACCTGAAAGTAGCCGCGAGGAAGCCCGGGACAGACCCAGAAACACAGGTGCCAAGGTCACAAGAGACAAAGCCAGACCAGACGGTGCGAGTGTCCAAATTAAAGAGACTTAGGAGACCTGGCAGTTAAGGGTGGCATGTGGCCTGGTGGGACCTGGATATCGGTGGGGCAGGTGGAATCTGGCAACATTTGGAGGTGGTGGTGACCTGCCAGTGGTAACTCCCAGGTGAAGGGCATTGGGAATTGTTTATGTAACTTTTGTACTATTTTTGTACATTTGAACCTATTTCACAATGAAATGTTTAAAACTTTTCTAGAACTTGAGGCTGTGCCATTCATCGACATCAGGGCATGCTGGGAGCACGGTGGCACCGGGCTCTGGGGGCATTGGTGATCCTCTCTACACATCAGGACCCTGCCCGGGCCTCGGCCCTTCCCAGGCTATCCCTGAGGCATTGTCCAGCCCTGTCTTTCACTACTCTCTTCTGTTAAATCAGTGGGTCCTGGGTGTCCCTGAGAATACTGGCCAGTGTATGGACACTGGCAGCTCCCGGGCCCACCTCCAGCTCTTCTCAGTCTTGAATTTTCCTGTCTCTCCTGGTGATGGGTAGACCTGGCTACAAGGGCCAGGCGGGCAGGGCTACGTCTGCTTCGTATTCTGACTGGGGTGTAAACTCAGAACCCCTTTTAGGGATTTCCTGGGGCTCCTTCCTTTATTGGCAGAGCTTATTCCCTTGGTCTCTGTGGCTCTGAGCACCCCAGCATCATCCTGTGACATCAGGGCAATCTTGTCATTCACTCATTTGTTCCCACCACACAGTCCCCCCAGACATGGACTGCTGGGGTCCCTGGCACAGGTTGTGCTGTGGCCACCATATGTGGTCATCCAATGTCAGTGATCTGTGATCCTGAAACCTTTGCCCCCGTGTCATTCCACAGGCTGGCCGCGAGTGTGGGACAGGGAGCTTCAGCATCTAACACAGCCGATGGGTACAGCCGATGGGTGTCATTGCTCCCAGGAGCTGGTGGGGTTCTTTCTCCTGCATCATGTAGGGGGTGTGGAGCCATCTATGAGGCTCAGGTACACAGCATGGAGAGGAGCCCAGGGAGGTCTCCGGGGCTCACAACTGCCCCCACCCCTTCTACCCTGCCAGCCACCCTCTGCCCAAATATTTACTTCTGCTACAGGCTCCGTGCATGTCAGGCAGATGAGACAGGGCTGGGTCAGTAGAGCCACTTACAAGGGCCCCTGAGGCTGTGGGAGCTCTGTCCACCTGGACCCTGCTGCCTGGAGGCCAGGGCCAGGCTCAGGGCCTGTGCAGAGCAGAGACCGCTGCATTTTTGCTGCACATTTCTCAGTATACAAATGATTTGGAGTTAGGCCTCAGAAACTGTAACTTCATACTTAAGTGTCCATGTGGCTGAGCTATTCCTGACCTCACATGTGTGCATGTTGAGGACTGTGGGCTGCTGGCTGCATCCTGGGGTTGGGGGCAGAGGCTGATGAGGCCTGAGCAAGTGGTGGGTCCAGGATTCAAACGGCAGCCCAGCTCCTCTCTGGGCTTGTCTCCTAGGCGGGTGGAGGGGAAGCTAGGAAACCTCAGAGGGGTGAACCTTAGCCTGAGGAGCTTCCAAAACTGAACCCAGTGTGGTGGGGAGGGCAGAGCCTTACTCTCCGCACCTCGGAGCTATCTGTCCGTCTGTCTCCTGCTGTCTGTGGGTCTGAGAACTCCTCCTGGCACTTCCTTCCCTTCCCCAAACTTCTAACCTGTAACTGGAGCTTCTGCTGCTTCTCCTTTCAGGGTTTCAAAGACAACCTCCATGCCGTGTTCTGCTTGGCTGAGAACTCCGTCGGACCCAATGCAACAAGGCCCGATGACATCCATCTGCTGTACTCAGGAAAGTAAGGCAGACCCTCCGCCCCCATCACCCTCACCCAGACAGAGTCCACTCAGCAGCCACCTGCCACATCCTGATCACCACCACCTGCTAGGAGGGCGTCCTGTGTCAGAGTCCCCAGGTCACAGGCTACTTGCTTGTACGAGTGCCCAGGAGCTCTGGTAGAGGGGGACCTCACAATGAGTGGTCCATGGCACCTGACAAGGTGCTGGGCTCCCTTGGGAGCCATTGCATTAGGGGGACGAGCCTTTCCAACCTTTATTTTTAACATTCTTTGGCTATCTGAAGCTTTTCCCCCTCCCTGCATCTTCCCCTCAAGAGACTGGCCCCTGTGCTGCTCCTTCTCAGTGGCAGAGGGACATACTTGAGAGACAAAGCTGAGTGGCACCCAAGGCACAGAGGCCCCAGAACTCAGGACATGAAACCTTTTTGTGGCTGTACCATATCCTGGTGCCGAGTAGGCACCTCCCCTCTGTCCCTGCTCCCCATTTATCCAGTGCCAGTCACAGTGCACCAAATGCTAATCCATCTCAGTCCATACCACCCACCTTACAGGTTCAGAGCTGGTTCAGAGCTTGCTCACAGCTCAAGAGAGTAGAGCAGGGATTTGGCCCAGCACAGCATTGCTGCAGGGGTGTGTGTGCTGGAGCTGGGGGTCACAGGGATAGGTAGCTCTAGATGGGTCTCCACAGTTCCACAGGGACTTGTCCCAGTGTCAAAAGGGGCCACATCTCTGAGCCAGGGTTTCTGCACACCCAGGACAGTGGAAATTAACAACACAGATGCCGAGGGCAGGCTGGTGCTGGCAGATGGTGTGTCCTACGCCTGCAAGGACCTGGGAGCCGACATCATCCTGGACATGGCCACGTTGACTGGGGCTCAGGTAAGCGTTGCTGGGCACCTCCCTGGCTGTGGCCTCAGGGTGGGGAAGGCAGGTGGGGTGCGGGCTGCTGTGACCGAATTCTTATAACTGACCGAGGAGGCAGTGGGGACCCTTGGTTGTACCCAGTGAGGGTTCCCATGCCTGAGAAATGCGCCTGGAGCAGAAACCACCCTCTGCACTTGATGGGAATGATTCTCTTTCTTTCTTGCTCTGATTCTTACCACCTCTCTTTTGCTTTCCTTCTTTTTCTGCCTGCCTCTCCATCCCTCTTTTGTCTTTTGTGTTTCTCTCTGGCTTTCCTTCCCCTATCTGGTGTTTTCTGGGCCCCCTGCCCGGCCAGGGCATCGCCACAGGGAAGTACCATGCTGCCGTGCTCACCAACAGCGCCGAGTGGGAGACAGCATGCGTGAAGGCGGGCAGGAAGTGTGGGGATCTGGTGCACCCACTCGTCTACTGCCCCGAGCTGCATTTCAGCGAGTTCACCTCGGCTGTGGCTGACATGAAGAACTCAGTGGCAGTAAGTCTGCAGCTGTGGGCTTTGCCCTTGTGGGTAGAATACTGCCTCCAGGGGCTAGTGCTTCTAGGGAGACGGTGTACCCCTGGGAAGCAGCAGCAGTGCCCAGAGGCAACAGCAGTGCACAGATGCCTCCCCGGGACTGGTCTTTCTGCCTTACAGCTGTGGGTCTGCCTTGATCTCCTTAGGAGGCCTGTCGCTGGCTCCCTTTTGCCATAGGGTAGTTGTAGACTCCTTGGCCATGGTCAGGGCCCTCCCTGCCCAGGCTTCTTATAGACTCCAGGGAGGTGATGGTGCAGGATCAAGACTGTCCAGCATGAGCCACCCCTAGGTATCTACACACCAGCCCCACAGGTGGTCCTGGTGGAGCAAAAAGTCACTGTGTGTCTTCTTGGACTCCCCAGGATCGAGACAACAGCCCCAGCTCCTGTGCTGGCCTCTTCATCGCCTCCCACCTCGGGTTTGACTGGCCCGGGGTCTGGGTCCACCTGGATATTGCTGCACCAGTGCACGCTGTGAGTGTCAGAGCCACCCTTCTGCCATCTGCCCCTCCCATCCTCATCCACTCAGAGCCCCTCTCTGGCCCTGGAGCCACCTGAGCTCATCAGAAGGAGGCCCTGATGTCCCACCTCTCCTTCCTGGGAACAGAGTGGCTGTGCGTGTAGTCCTGGCCCAGGGCCCTTGAGCTCATGCTTCCCCTTCCTTAGCGTGGCCTGACAGTGGGAAGACCCATTGCTCTGGCTTGTGCTCTAGAATGCCTTACTGGGCAGGGAGGAGCTGTGGGGCGAGTAGGGGGATGTGGGAGCCCTCCCATGCAGAGGCCCCATGCTCAGAGTTCGTGCCCCCTTTTGCCCATAGGGCGAGCGCGCCACAGGCTTTGGTGTGGCACTCCTGCTGGCGCTCTTTGGCGGTGCCTCCGAGGACCCTCTGCTGAATCTGGTGTCTCCGCTGGACTGTGAGGTGGATGCGCAGGAGGGGGACGTGGGGAGGGATACCAAGAGACGAAGGCTTGTGTGAGGGTCTGGCCTCCGCTCAGCCCCCAGCGACAAGGGGCGCTCTTACCTCACTTTGCACTGATTAATTTTAAGCAATTGAAGATTGTCCCTTAAAATGGGTTTGGGTTTGGGTTTGTTTTTCTGTTTATAACTGTGGTGGTGATGGGAATGGCTCTGTCTTATGTCCTAGAAGACAGCTTAGGATTTGGCTGGGGCCATGGAAGGGGGCAGGAAGTGCTAGGGCTGTTTTCTATCTGAGCTACCACAGGCCTCCCCATGCTATGCTGCCCCTTGGGGCCCCCTTGGGGCCCCCTTGGGGCCCAGGCCCTGCTCCAGGCATCCAGCACTGCACAGGGCCCAAGCGTTCATGCTGCCCAGGCCCAGCCAGCACATCCAGCTACCCTCCCCTTGGAGAGTGAAGTGACTTGCGCAGGGACCGATTTTATGGAGCACAAGGGGGTCCTACTCAAGCCCCTCTGAATTCACTTGAGGCTAAAATAAACTAGGTCACACCACACCTTTGCCTGTCTCCACCGTTCTTTCTCTGACCTCTCTGATTTAGAGACTAGCCCCGGAGCCAGTTTAGGGGAGACAGGAGGCAGTCCTGAACCTCAGACTGTCAGGGCCCTGGGCTCTATCTACAACCCTGGAATCAGGGTGACTCTTTCTGGGCCTGATCTCAAGCAAATGTTTATTAAGTGCCTGCTGTGTGGACCGCCCTGGCTGGGCCTGAGCAGGCACAAACTTGCGCCAAGGCCTACCCCCGTCTGAGGAAACTGTAATCGGGACTGTGGGCAGCAGTAGGGGCAGGAGACGCGGCTCCTCAGCAGAGTGGCACGGCTGGGCACCTGTAGCCTTCAGGGGTCACTGGCTGGCTTAATAGCTCTTCAATAGGCTGCTCTCTACTCCTCTCTGAGACGCCCAGCGGAGGCAGAGGTCACCGAGGTGGTCTGGTTCTCCAAGGCAGCTGGCACCATCTGCTCCCCCCGCCAGGGGACCGCAGGGCCAGGGCACAGGATGCAAGGTCAAGGAGCAGGAGGAACTGAGTCTCCCTTGTGCAGGCACAAAGGCAGTCTCAGGGCCAGGGACCCAGCTGCAGACCAGCTGCAGGCTTGGGGTCTGGCCTATATACCCAGCGTCAGGGGTCTCCGGGGTGAGCCAGAGGCCTGGCTTTCTCCAGGACCAAAGGGCCTTAGGATTTAGCGGCTGCTCCCCTCAGCCCTGCTGGAGCCCCAGCAACAGGGTCACAGACCGGCCAGCAGCAGGGGCAGGTGGGTGCTCTTGGTTCCACTTGTTCTTGGTTTCTGGCAATTGCAGGAGGATGAGCCAGGTGAGGAGGTACAGCTTGCGGGCCTGGGGGACCGGTGCAGAGCCCAGCAGGGGGAAGGAATGTGAGATGCACAGAAGTGCTCCCAGGTGAACTCGGCTACAGCCATCACCACAGACACATGGGGTCCAGGAATGCTGAGGAAGGGAGGTGGGATCAGGACCCCCCCACTACTTCCCACCCCCATCTGGAATTCCAGAGCTCACCTGGGGCTGTGTTACCCCAAAGACAGGGACCAAAGGACAAGAGGATGAAGCTGTCTCTAGGGAAAAGTGTGTAGGGGGTGGGATGAGCTTCTCCAGGGCTTGAGGAGCAGCTGGGAGGAAAGGGGATGAATACTAATCTCTGTCCCTGCACCTTTCTGTGCCGCTAGCAACAGAAGAGATAGACTCACTTCAAAGAAGAGGCTAGCGTGGAATGAGCTTGTTTCTATTGGGCAGCGCTGGCAGGCCATTCAATCATCTCAGAAAATCACACTCCACCTCCCCTGCAGATTAATTACTCTAATTAATTATTCTAGCCAGGGGCTGGCGACTCCTTACCCCAGAAAACACTACCTTGGGCTGTATTCGCCCCTCAGGCACACAGGACCCCAAGCAGCCCCTCCTTCCTGGCCCAGAGTCCAAGTTCCTGGTGACCCTAGCAGCCTCCCACCCCATAAATGTTTGTGGAATTTGCTGCCCTGAGCCTCTATCCAGACTGTGTTCCCTGGTGAATTAGTGTTCAGCATTTTTGTTTATTTGTTTGTTCTTTAACAAAAGGTTGTTTTGGTTTGAGACTCAGCAGAAACACACACTGCATTCTGCTTCCTCTCCACTCAGGATTCAGTAAATTAGTTGTTTTCCCGTCTGCTTCTAGTCCTTGCCTCAAATGAGCCTCCAACAAGATAATGCATTTAAAAGCCTTTGGAAAAGTACCAGGCCCCACGCACATGTGCCACGTAGCCATCCTGTGAGCTCTGGGAAGCCAGGTCTGCAGCTCCCAGCCTCCCGCCCACCCACTGGGGCTCAGCTCCTGGGAACACAGGGCTCCTTCCGGTGTGACCTCAGGGAAAGGGCTCAGCAGGGGACCAGCGGCCCCACACCCCTGCTGCTAGTCTAGTCCCCAGTGCCCAGGCCTGCCTCTGCCTGAGCCAGCACCATGCTCAGAGTGCTGCTGGTTCTTATCTACATACAACCAAGGGGTCATTTTTGTTTCAGTCCCCGTTGTGGTCCTGGAGGATTTGGGGGTCAGTCCAGAGAGCATTCTGCAGTCAGAAAAGCAGAACTGAAAACAAACCCCCCAAATTCAAAAGCTCAGCAGCCTGGTTTACATTTATGGTTTGCACAGTTAGAACATGAGGCTGCCCCTCCCCCACCCCAAACGATCTGTTTCCTACTGGCTTCAGTAGGAATGCTGGGCTGTCTTGGACCCTTCCTCCCTCCCCCTAGATCAATTTTGGAGTCACCAGGGAAAGTCCACCAACTTTGTAACTACAGACGTTCTAATGAGTTGGGTGAATTTCTGTGGCATCCACCACCCTACTTGGTCTAGTGTTCCGATGGCCTGAAGCCAGCTTCCTTATCCAATAATATTTATTAGGCACCCCCTGCATGCAATCCCTGGGCTGCCTATGCCCTAGCAGGCAGGATGTTCTGCGTGTCCTGTGATCTGCAAAACTGTCCTTCCAACACTGCCATGTGGTAGCTTGGAGACCTGGAATCAGCCAGCAAATTCCTTTCCTGTGTGATGGGAACACTGATATATCCATGAAAGTGTCACCTAAATAGGCAAAAGGCAACTCTTCTGGTGGTCCTGCAACATTGGTGCTGGACAGAGATCTCTATGTGTGAAGGCACTGCCCAAGAAAGGGGAGGAGTGGACACCTACACAGGCCCTCTCCAGGTGTGGGCCAGCGGCTGGACCAGTGGGTCTCAAGTATTAAGTACTTTGACTCACAAATTCTCACCACTTTGGCCTTTCTAAACTCCAAATGCTTTTTCTTCAATTCATGGGGACCACTGTGTTTGCATGCCCACTCCCTACGTTGTGGCGTAGAAAGTCTCCAAGCACGAAAAGAAGACAAAGGAAATGAAAATTGGGGCAGTGCCTGTGGCTCAAGGAGTAGGGCGCCGGCCCCATATACCAGAGGTGGCCAAAAACTGCAAAAAAAAAAAAAAAGAAAGAAAATAAATGGGACATATAAAAATATGTTACAAGATAATGAATTTATACTCAACATTGTGAAGTATCACATTAAATGTAAACAGTCTAAACACACCAGTTAAACATTATAAGCTTGGATCTGAAAACAATGCCTACCTTTCCTCTGACTGTAAGAAAACCCATTTCCAAAGTTAAATGTAAAAGAGTAAAAGGATGGAGAAGATACAGTATTAACACTTAACACAAGAAATCTAGACTTGCTACATTAATACAAGATAAGGTGGATTTAAGAGCAAGGAATATTACAAGGATAAAGAGGGTCATGTCATGATGATCAAGGAAGCAATTCCCTCAAGAGGACCAAACCATCCTAAATCTCTGTACACCAAACAATGGAGCTTCAAACACGTGAAGAAAACCCAACAGATTCCACTAGAGAAACAGATACACAATTAATTGGAGTTCTCAACAATCTTCTCTCAATAAAAGTGAGACAGTAAATGCATAGAAAACTTGAACAACACCAGCAGCAGCAGCAGCAGAACACATTATTTTCAAGAGCACATGAAACATTCGTTAAGATAGATCATGTTCTGGGCCATGAAACAACTCTCAATAAATTTAAAAGAATGGAAATTATATATGTACACCATGGAATATTATTCAGTTATCAAAAATAATGGAGATTTTATAGCATTTGTACTAACCTGGATGGAGGTGGAACACATTATTCTTAGTGAAGCATCACAGGAATGGAGAAGTAAGAATCCTATGTATTCAACTTTGATATGAAGACAATGACATGGTAGGACATGGGGGAAGGGGAGACCAGACAGAGAAGGAGGGAGGGGGTGTGGGCAAGGAAAAAAAAAGAAAAAAAAATAGTGACGAATTCTCATATAAATTGTATTTAATTTGGACCAAAGTACATTGCTTAAACATTAATTTTTAATTCAACATGTTTATCATATTGCATCCTCATTTATAAGTGAAATATGTTCGTAATTTCCCCTTTATAATAATATATTTTCTCCAATTTTAATATCAGGTCTATCCAGATTAAGTAGAGTGATTTTGAAGTATTTCATTTTCTTTTGTCTATAAGATGTGGCATGATCTGTTTTTTAGAAATTATCTTTTACTTTCATTTATAAATATTAGTTGTCTATTTTTCTGAGACCTTGGAAAAAACAAAGTAAGATGAAGAAGTTAACTGATCAAAGTATTCTATAATAGACATACTCCTATCTGACAATGTGAATGTCACTTTCTTTGCATTATTACTATTATTATTGCTTAATATTTCATTGCAGCAGTCGCCTGATTTCTTTTCTGAATGTATTTACCTTCATTCGTTCTTTATGAGGTTTCTGTTCTCAGTCCTTATGTTAAACATTGTTATTGTCATTAAATTTGCCCTTTTTAATTCTGTGAAGGCAAAAGTAGAAACCTAATATACACATATATAAGTAAGAAAAATAAATTTTTTAAAAAAAGAGAACTGAAATTATACAAATAATAGTCTCTGACCACAATGAAATTCAGTTAAAAATTAGCAGCAACAATATCTAGAAAGCCCCCCAAATATGTAGAAATTAAAGAGCATCCTTTCAAAAAAATCCATGGGTTAAAGAAAAAAATTACAGGCTCGGCGCCTGTGGCTCAAGCGGCTAAGGCGCCAGTCACATACACCTAAGGTGGCAGGTTCGAATCCCCAGCCCGGGCCAGCCAAACAACAATGATGGCTGCAACCAAAAAATGGCCAGGCGTTGTGGCGGGCGCCTGTAGTCCCAGCTAC